GGCTGGTTAATGCAGGTGAGAAACCAGCAGTTGGTATTAGGGAAGGCCTGGCGGAAAGAAGGTTCTAGCACCTGCTGGTGGAGCCGAAACAGGGTATAGACAACCGTGAATTCAGCCAAGTTCACACGTTCACTCACCAGGAAAGTCCTCGTCTTCAAGCGGAGATCCAGGAGGCCCAGAATTCGCCTCACCTCCTCCTTAGCATTTTCTGAGGCCTGCTTGTGGCGCATGATGGCCAAGGTGGGCAACACCCAAGTGCTGGCTGGGGGAACAATGTTGCTGTCGGCAAAGCTCACCCACTGCACCACCTGGGCTGCTGCCTCTGGGGTACTTCCCCGCAGCTCATCATTGCTCACGTAACAGGCAATGACACTGCTCTCAAACACACAGAATCTATCGTCACCCTCAAAAGCTGGAACCTTATCGGCTGGAAACTTGCAGAGAAATTCAGGGGTGCGGTTGGTGTGACCGAAATGGAAGTGCGGTGGTGCAGAGAGCACGCCGACTTGCGCCCCGCTGTACTGAGCAGCGTTGAGGACCTTGAAGGCCCTCCAGTGTTCGGGGTATGTGTACTGGGTCCCAGCCGCCATGGTGATTCCGCAGAGAAAGGGGGTGCGGCCCTTGGCGCTCCAGACTTTCCTTTTGAGGTGTCACTTGAACGGCCAACATTAGATTAGCAGTGAGCACTTTTTCCGCCCCCCGCCTCCCCCCGCACTGGAAGGGTTGGGTGTATTTGGGCTCTGTAACAAGCCCTAACTTTTTTTTTTCATTTCCATTCATTCATTGTTGCACTTTTCTCCCTGCCCACCCCTCCTCCCTCCAGTACATTCTTCTCTTTGATAAGTGAAAAAAAAAAAATCTTTCATTGTTTTACAGTCCCTCCTCCCAGGTCCACACCATTATGCAGCCTTCATTCTGGACTTCTGTCATGGCAAAAATACCTAATCACATATTCGTTTTAAACAGTTTTCTCTCTCATCTGTTTCAGTACAGTATACATTATTTATCCCATCTTAGTCGGCCCCCAACCCCAATGCAAGTCCTGATTTACAACAGTGGCACCATGCAGTATTTGTCCTGTTGTAATTGAAATATTTCATCATCAATCTGCGTCATGCAGATGACACAACTTTGTTCCCCAAAACTGAGGAGTACCTGAAGTATTTGCAGCAGAGGGTCAAGAGCTGCAACCTTCCATCATCTGTTTTTTAAGAGTGGTGTTATGCTGTATTTGTCTTTTCATGACTGAGATATTTCACTCAGCATCATGTCCTCGAGGGTCACCCATGTTCTGTAATATTTTATGAATTCCCCTTTTTCAGTGCAGTGTAGTATTCCATTGTGTGGGTATACTACAGTGTTTTGTTTTGTTCCCTCCATTCAATAATGCAGCAATAAACATGAATATACATATATCTGTTTGGGTGGTGGCTCTGGTATCTTTAGGGTATATTCCTAGTTGTAGACTTGCTGGGTCAAATGGCATTTCTATTTCCAAATTTTTGAGAAAGTGTCACACCACCTTCCATAGTGGTTGCACCATTTTACACTTCCACCAGCAGTAAATAAGGGTTCCAATCTCTCCACAACCTCACCAGCATTTGTTGTTTGCTGCTCTGTTGAACTTTGCTGTTGTTACTAGGGTGTGATGATATCTCACAGTTGTTTTTATGTGGATCTCTCTGAGAGGGATTTTGAACATTTCTTCACGTGTTTGTCATCTGAATATCTTCTTTGGAGAAGTGTCTATCCATATCCTCTGCCCATTTTCCAACTGGATTGTTTACCGTTATCTTGTTGAGGTGCTGGAGTATTCTATAATTTTAGATATGAGGCCCTTATCAGATATGTCACTACCAAATAAGTTTTTCCAGTCTATGGATTTCCTTTTTACCCTGTTGTAGAAGTTGTTTGATGTGCATAGGGATTTCATCCTTAGAAGGTCCTATTCCTCTAGTTTCTTTTCTTCTGGTTGTAGGTTTGTCAAGATGCTTGGAAGACTGTTCATATTGTGGATTAGGACTTCTAGTGCTCTACCAACCTTTTCTCTGATGAAGTTTATAATCTTTGGTTTTATTCCTAGGTCCTTGACCCACTTTGAGTTGGTTTTGTGTGAGGTATGGGTAAAAGGCATTATTTGTATGGCCACAGCCCACAATAAGAGATGCATGGCAAAGTGGACTGGGGGAGATTTGCAGGGGAAGGGAAGAAATTATGCAACAATGAATGATTTTGTTAAATTTTATTACTTTTGTGTGTACGTATCGTCAAATCAGATCTGATTAGTACAGGAGGACACTGCCCCTTCTTCTCCAGCAGAGCA